TGAAGCGTAAGGCTTCTAATATTTTTAACATACAAGATTGCGAATTTAGGTTTAGTCTTTGAAAAATTATTGAATTTTGTTTGAATTACGCAAGAACTTTCGTGCCAACCTAATATTTTGAGATGTCGATTTCTCAGTCCAGGTATATTCAAAAAATTTATGTAAAGTGCAATAGGTAAACAATATTTATCCCATACACTATGTTCCTAGAAAAATTTATTTATTTGCGCGTGATTTGTGGCAAGGAAGTTAAAGCAACGAAATTTCGATTTTGAGTGCGGCTGTGCAAAATATTGGTGAAATTCTCACAGACGAGATAGAAACATAATTGCACCCCCTTTAGAAAGTACCTAAAGAACGCTTCCCAATGATAAGCAGAATCTACACCGAAAAAGAAATTTTGGAGGAAAGAAGTTGTTCGGAAGATAGGCCCAGAAAAACGGACACTATTTTTTTAACAGCCTTAAAATTTCTTGCCTATCCCTCGTGCTCACTATCATTCCACCCACTAGTTGGTAGACTGTCACCATTATCTTATTCTGATCAGGCGTTTAATTTTTTGACTGACCAAACACTCGTCACTCCTCATCCAGAGACGCCCCACAGAATACTGAAAAGACTTGAACTAAGCGTGCAATGCTCTCCAAGACTATATGCATCTCAACTGGAAAGGTCACTTCGACCAAGGATCCTGCATCTGTAAGAAACACGAGCACGCTTCGCGTATGTTTGATCAACAAGTTTGTGAGTGCGTTTCAACGCTTTCTGGTAAAATACTATAAGGGATTCAAGAAAAGCACGTCTGAACTCGCTTTCTTTAACGAGCTCGAACGAGTATTCTTTTACAAACTTCTAATGGAAATTTACCAAAAGGCGACCCGCACACTAAGTCGTCAGTTAGACATGCGCAAAGCGTGCTCGTATCTCGTAGTCAGAGAATGAATGTTACTAGCGGCAGAGGTATGGTAACACATGTAAGATCTTGCTAACGAGGAAATGGTCAGAAATCAACCTAGCCATTTGAAACAAGCTACCATAGAACTCGCCTTAAAACGCTGATTTTAAATGTATGTTCATTGTCTGCCAAACGACTATATGGAAGGAGTTATGAGCGTTTAAATATGAGAAATTTTCAAGTTTAGACCAATATATTTCCTTTAAAAGCAATCTGATAACGCGTTTACAGTGGCTACGGTTAACTCAGTTAATTACAAGAAAAGAAGCAAATCTACCAAAAACCTGAATAAGTGTTTTTGAAACGTATTGAAACATGCGCCACAAAATACTTGTCAAATCGGACATTCAAACGCTTCTAACTCCTTCCAGATAGTGTTTTGGCAGATAATAAACTTATACTAAACATATGTAAAATAAACATATATTTGTCATCAGCGTTTCAAGGCTATTTCGACGATATATAACATATTTGGTAGAGCTAGGCTAAGCTTTGACGATTCCCTGCTAAGCATCACCAGCCTGTACTTGGTCCTCACTCAAACATGCTCGCTTGTAAATTGATGTGTGTTGTAATCCCGGTTACTCGGGGTCTCTTGTAAGTTTCTTCCACAGTTCTTCGATCTCAAATTCTTTCCGATATGCTTTGATCTTTTTCGACCATCTTATCTTCAACCCTCTTGTCCTCTTTTCTGGTACATCTCCAGACGTGTCCGATCTGGTGATGCGGCTTCTTTCTTTTCACGTGGTCGAGGCATTGAAGTCTTTTCTCTTGCATCTTCTTTGTTTTTGGGGCTTTCATAGTGGCTCAAACGGTGTCGTTAGTGACGCGGACCAGCAAAGTGAGGCCTATCGTCCATCGAAGCATTCGAGCCTTCTCACATTCATCTTTCGTTCTTCTTTGTATGTGAATGGCCAACATTTGATACCTTTAAAAGGTAGGACGACCCGTTGTTTACACGACGTCTTCAGATGTAGCTGCATTCGCTTGTACATGATTCCCGTAAGTAACTCCACTTCAATCATGCCGCGCTTATTCTGGCGGTTATCTCATGCTTCCTAGATACCTGAAGGTCGAGTTCTTCTTCAGCTGCGTGTCTCCGATCTGGACTGCTCCGATCTGTCTTCAAGGTATTTGAAGACATGTTGCTTCGGTTGAGTTCTCCACACCGGCACCTCCGTCTTTGACTATATTCTGCTTCTTGCCATCAGGATCACATCATTAGCGTATATGATAGACCATGGCGGGGATGAAGTTTTTGTACTTGTAATTCACTCTGGAGTACGTTACGGAAAATTTCTCTGCGCCTCGTCATTCCCCTATTCGCGTCAGTTGACGTCTCAACAGAACGTGAACTTACAAATGTGAGGTAGTGACGTCATCAGTTAGACACGCAACTGTCAGTTCAGTTTGCATTCTTATAAGAGAAGGAGAGGTCGTCATTCCACTTCACCGAACCTCAGTTGACACCTCAACGGATCACCTGAACTGAACGATCTCTATTACGGGTCAAGTATCAAAATCTTAGCTTTCGGAAGCACTGATTTTGAAAATGGCTTAAAATCGCTTACATTTTCTTATATTTTCCTCTGCCTCTCCTTGTTTTGTTTGTTCTATTTTCTTCTATGTATTTGTGAGCTTTCAAGGGCTTTGAAGATCAGGAATTAAAAAGCACCAATTAGAAAGTTTGGAGCGGAGAGACTCACAAGTTAACTAGAAATGTATTCGAGCTATATTTAACCTATAAGCTTCAAATATTGCACTTCTAGAATTTTTTGAAACTAAGAAGTAGAGTAGGGTAAAATTTATGAATTTCGATGATAACGGAGGTTTGAAAACGAGTTGCGTAGTATTATGAGGCGCCGTTATGACCAGGGGCGGTATTCTTCGATCTCCCAGACGCTGTTCGGGCCATTACTAACGAGTGCCGGACAGCGAGAGCGCCATCCATGATCTATGAAAGCTTAAGGCGCATCCCAAACGGGCAGCAGAGTCCGAGCTGTGGAGATCGGGCACGATCGGGCACCTGACGTGCCCGACGGGCCAAACTTGCCACATCGGACCATATTTTCGAACACACAGGAGCCTCCCGATCACCAGCTTGGCTTCGTATATCGCGGGAGCAAATGCCCACGCCTATATGGGTTGTGACCTGTACAGGAGCCCCTTTCCATATAGAATACTGATAGCTACCGCCTCAGAATGGACAAGGTTCGTTCCCCGCCCCTGGGAGAACTAAGCCGTCCACCCTGGGGCCGGTAAATTAGTACAGAGTAGTCTGGGAGGATAAAAAATCGAACTGGTAATCGGCTAGCCTCCACGAGTCAGCTAAAAGGTCTGCACGCTTTCACCTGGCTCTTCCACTACGAAGTAGAATGCGTTCGGAGCATGCCTGCAGAGGGTATTGAAGACTCCAAATCCTTTATCTTTATACTGATAACGGAGTTTTTTTGCGAAATAATTTGAAAAGCGCTCTTATCTTAGCATTGCTTACGCATTGCAAATATGACACGATATCGACATCGTAGATGTTAGCTTTCTGGATTAACCTAAAAATTTGTAGGAAGGTTTTGTAAGGTTTTGCAAATGTGCCTAAGATTCAAAGAGTTCCTCTCAAATCAATTTCAAAACCAATTTCTCAAATCGGTTATGATAGATACTTTTCTACATGTCTCATAAATAAATAACTGTTTTTTCTTCACCTCGTACACATATATTTTTCGCATATACTTCATACTTCGTAAAGGAACAAGCTCTTGCACTCTATGATACTAGGACTTCATGACAGAACAAAGTGTCCACAATTTACGCTTGAAACAAATCGGAATGGGTATAAGTCCTTTCAGTCGCAGAGCAAAATATAGCAACGTCAAGAACCATTAGGTTCTTTTACATCTCAGGCTTAAACGAAGGTTCTTTTGAATTCTAAAACGTGCCACTGTAAGCTGATTAGAACATTCTTTGACATGAGTTTGAGCTCGTGTTTCTCAATTTACGGGTCAGAAGTCACACCACGAAGTCACAGGAACATCTGGTTGTCCAGACCCAGAATTTGTCCCTCGCGAAAACTATCCGGGCCAAAATGGCATGGGAACACAGTGGTATGGAGGAGAGGGGGTAAGAAATGGCGGCAGATACATGATTCGATTAAATAACATTGCGACAGGAGTACTGACAAGAACTGAGTCTTGTAATGCTTGACATCGCGTTGCGGCGTCGTTTCGCGAAAGTTCTTATTTATTGACCCGTTCCTGGTTTCTGGGTAGTTTTTTCTTTAAAATGTTGCAAAGTTTGGCGCCACTAATTTTTGCACCCTGTTTCAGCACATACCTTAAAAAGTACACATTATTCTGCATCATATTTAAATTATTTATATAAAAATTTTACTTTATATTTATTTATATAAATCGGGAAAAAAACTATGAGACAACATATCATAAAAAGCCTCTCAAATTGCTATTTCTGATTTGCTTTTAACAGCAAAACAATCCCTTCCACGACGCTGTGTTGACTGATGATTCCTTTAATCATCAGCTGCGAAGTGTAAAAAACACCAACAAATTTTCTACTTTTTTATCAGTTCAGATTTATAAGGACAATTAAGTGATGGTCTTGTTTTCCTTTGCGTGAATAGAATACCGCAAATAACTCTACAACATGAGGAAAGAAAATGATTACGACTATTTTCCCTAATCGCTCGAGCTGATGTTACAATAACTCATTGCACCGGCACGCAATTTATAACATACCTCTCATACTTAAAGGGTACCGAAACGACTACCGTGGTTGCTTCTTTTGTAAAAATAAAATATTCAAGATTTCATAAAACAACTTTGAGAGCTGGCGCAGCTGTCCATATGTGCAAATCCTCGTGGAGTACTTAGAGTGGTTATAACTGAGCTTCGCTGTTGTGTCGCGAGTTACTTCTGAATATGAGCGCAAGGGAGAAATTGCTTTACATAGGTCAGTTGTTGAGGTATGGTTTGATATAAATTACTTTAATGAAAGCTTTATTGCAAATATTTAAGTAGAGTCATAGAGAGGATTATTCGGCAGATTTTGATTCTTTTTCACTTAAGGTAGCCGTGTCTTCAGACTGTCGTTTGCTAAATTTGGTATTTGATTTTGGGTCATAGTAGATAGAAGCATGGACAGTGTAAACTGCAGACACACTAACATGTGCGAATAGAAAACCAAATGGGCTGACCTCATGAGTTTTTCCTTGTCTTTTGCATGTGTAAAGCAATATTTAGAAGCAGCTTTGATATCGGGTGGTAAAGGACAGTCTCTAGTTTCTGGTAAGAAAATGCATGATGCCCCAGAAATTACGCATAGTATACCAACAATCAAGTACTTTGTGTATTTTGGTCCAAAATCCTGAAATTAGGTATTATGGTCTTTGATGATATTATGCGGGAAAAGTAATACCATGTGGCGAAGGTATGGTGCTATGATGATTCCTATACTTTGCGGAACGTTTATGATTGAATGGAACAAAGACCTGACTGATGTAGGGGCCATTTCTGAGATGTATATGGGGTGTACTTCATACGTAATGCTAAAATTTTTTCCAAATACACTAATTTCCTAAATTACAGTCACGCAAGCAACCTGTTAATCAACTTCCCTAGTAATACGAATGCAACCAAAAACCATTGTGGTTCTGAAACTGCTGGTTAAAGCTTTTGTTTTCTTGCATGCTGTAGAAGCACACCTTGGGAAAGTGGAGCAATGATGATAGCAATGCCTTGCATTATCATAGTACTCATACATATATTTCTTCGCCCCATATAGAGCATAAGAGGAACTACGAGTAGCCCTCCTGCGGCGACATATAGTGACAAATTAAGATTACAAGTTAGTTACCAGGCAATTCAACAAATGCAGACAGCATGTATGCAGTGAATCGGTCATCACTGAGATCGATAGATAAAAATGATAGTCCAAAGTAGTAAAAAGCCAGCATTAATCTGAAACAAGTGATTGTATTCAAAATATAACTGAAAAGGGAATGCTCAAAAGTTGAGTGGCCAATCCAAACAAGCTGTTGTTAGATGCCGTAAAACGCTGACTTCAACCTTTCCATATCTGCTAAACGCCTTTGCAGACGAAGTTATGAGCAGTTTTATCGCAAGAAGATCGCACATGTAAATTGCGAGACTAGGAGCATTTTTTCTATTCCCAGGCTTCGGTAAGGTCTATATGAATGTCTAGATGCAGGGGCTACGGAATTCTTGTGGTGCAGCAGTCAAAATTGTCAGCGCTAGCCAGCTTGCCTGCTTTATGTTATTGAGCACATTCAATGACTAAATACCGATGTATTTCGACTGATTCTTTTGAGTTTGAAAGACAAAAATAAACAGAAATTTTTTTTGAAATGACCATTCGTTTTGATCCCCTGCAACAGTGCAATTTGTCATTGAGGAAGGTATAATTTCTTCCGGAAGTTCGCTTTGCAGATAGAAGGTATATTTTTTCAATCAGCGTTTTGAGACGAGTGATTCCATGTACATCTCATGTAAGACGGCTGCGGTAATATAAAGTTCTCATACAAGTAAGACTTCAAATCTAAGCAATGCATGTGACGCGACCTTACCGCTGAGGAAAATTCCCCGCTTCCCACTTTGACGCATAAGTCGTCATTTTCGACTGACAAGGGAATGGTCAGAAGTCGAAGCGGCTAATCCAAACAAGCGCATACCTTTCGATGCAGCATAGAATGCTGACTTCAAATCTGTCTTCCATATCTGCAGAACGCCTTTGTAGACGAAGTTATGAGCAGCTTTACTGTGGAAAAATTGTACATAAAAATTGCAAAATTAGGAACATTATTGTTCTTCTAGCTTAACTTTAGGTACGGGCCATATGAAGTGACCTAGTTGCATGTCTTTCCAGCACTGAGCCGTCAAAGGCTCTGGTAAAATGTTTTCCTCTTACTCAGACAGTCGACGGCATACCTTCGGAGCAGAAATGGCAGAGCCGCGGGGTTTTCCCAGCAGAGGTTTGCTACTCGTGCTCCGGAGCCCTCCCATTTTGTGCTCCGGAAACCTCCCATTTGTGCTCCTGAGCCCTCCAATTTTGTGCTCCGGAGACCTCCCATTTTGTGCTCCGGAAACCTCCCATTTGTGCTCCTGAGCCCTCCAATTTTGTGCTCCGGAGACCTCCCATTTTGTGCTCCGGAGACCTCCCATTTTGAGCTTCGGGGCCCTCCCATTTTGTGCTTTGGAGCCCTCCCATTTGTGCTCCCGAGCCCTCCCATTTTGTGCTCCGGAGACCTCCCATTTTATGTTCCGAAAACCTTCCATTTTATGTTCCGGAGACCTCCCATTTTGTGCTTCGGAGCCCATTTGTGCTCCGGAGCACAAATGTGTGTCCCAAATCTGGCGTACCTCCGGAGCGTAAATCTCTGCTCCGGGGCTCTCCCAAATCTGATGTACCTCCGGAGCAGAGATTTGCGCGTCTTGGAGAGGGGTCCCATGCGACTGCTTGTGACTTCAGCGTGACCTACAAGAAGGACCCCCCCCTCGCCCCGCTCTCAATGGTCAATTGGGTCCTCCGCGGTTCTGCCAGATTTCGACTGTCCTCCGGAGCTACGGCCCGACTGTCTGAGTAGGTGCACAATTTCTTAGTAAAATTAAGGCCTTCAGCTTATAACTTCATCCACAAAAGTGTTCTACAAACAAGGAAGATAGATTTAGAGTTAGTTTATGTTGCATTCGATATGCGGCTTGCTTACACCACTTCGATTTCTGACCATTCCTTTGTGAGACCGCAGCTTGCGCGCGGCACCGCATCTACTTGTTTTTTTTTCAGTAAAGCCACTTTTAGAGAAGTGAATGTCACAATGTGTGCATGTGTTTCATCCAGAATAAGCCGATAACGATAGATCTTAGACATTGACAGCTTTCAATCATGCGTCATACTTTCGATCATCTTTATAGTCCTGCACAACAGTTATGTGATAACTTGTTCACCATGTGGCAAAAAGATCGTGCATATATCAACGCATGGAAAAGTTACTTGTGAGTACGATTTATGTATCTGATTTTGTGGCTGGGAATCGCCAAGGTAAGGTCGTGCATGTAGAAACGTATAGGCAATTCACTGTGATGCGACTTATGTAACTCACATTTTGTGGCTTTGATTCTTCAAATCAGCTCGTGCATATATCAGCGTTTAGGCGAGTCATCTGTATTTTTTATACATTTTCATTTCTATATGTAAGACTGTACAACGAGCGCGAAATCCACAAACCCTTACCAATCCTTTAGTAAAGTCCGCTTAAGCAAATAAATGTTAAATATGGGATTTTTTTAGTGATTGATTAGCCCAAACGCGCCAAAGGACTTCGCATTCAAAGGACCCTATAGAATGCTGCGTATAGCGTGAGAAAATGAGCGACATAAGGGTCAGGCTTTTTTGCGAAGTGATGCTGCAACGCGATTGCAAGCAGTACAAGAGCTAGCTTCGTTGATACTCCTGTGACTATGTTACCTGTGACAATGAGTCATGCATTTGCCGCCACCCCCAATTCCTTACTCTGCTGCCGTGCCATTTTAACGCCGTAATGTTTTTTGGATAATAAGATTTGGGCGCGTGTGCAAAAAATGCAGCCTTGAGTGTGACACCTGACCCGTAAACTTCTTGCATTTCTCCGAATGCGACTTTTAACTCGATACAAGGCCCTGTAATCCGTTTTGAACCCCAAGACGTGAATGTCGCATTCAATTCGCAAGAACTCACACACTATAGCACGGTACTTGCGTGATATCGTAATGCAGCCCACGTCCGCGCGCCTCGTGTCCTTCGATGTGGGTGGTTTAGAGCATTTGAAAAATCGTGACGATGGCGCAACCGCGCGCGCATTTCCGGCAATCGAATCTGGTTTTCACCTCCACATAAATGGTTTGTCTGCTTACGTATAGTGCTACTTAAACCTCGGAAGTGAATAAGCTAAGCCATGAGGTGATGCCTTTTTATATGAGTGTTGTTGGTTCTGTGAGCGCAAACAGCGCAGTCAAATCGTTCGTTACAATTTTAAAAATGACCTATACGATGCAAAACCAATGCACTCACATCTGCGCAAATGGCTCAGTCTATTTTACTGAATATGCCTATACGTGAGCATTAGGAAAGAATTATGTGACAGTAGCCATTTAGAATGGGATGTATACGCAAAATATACCTCAAATCGTTGATTTAAATTCTACCCTCTTTAGCTGCGAGATAACTCACTGGAGGAAGTTATAAACTCTTTATCAAAAAACTTCAAACTTCTAAACAACCGAGATCACCAGTGTTGGTCTATTCACTGTCTGATGGTACTAATGAAGATCCCAGACGGATAATCCCTTTGATTGAACTTTAAGTATTTCAAATGAGCAGTCAAAAATGCAAAAACTTCAACTGATAAATTTGAAAGTCTGTAAAAAACCTAAACCTTTCTTGGTAAAATTTTGATAACCATGCAGTTTATCGTTTTGCATATCTAAGACAATCCACCAAGTAGCTTTCCCTTGTCTAGAGTTCTTTCCATAGATAAAACCGTTTTATTTTCTTAAAGCATGCAAATTTCAGTGCTTTCACAACGCGTAAAAGGAGCAAATCAGTTGTGATTTCCAGCAACTTTCGAGTTAAGAATAAGAATTTTGTCTGGGGGTTTAGTAGACTGTTTACGAAATTAAGAATTTGCATAGGAAGACACTGCTTGCTTTCATCGTGTTTGATCATTTTTTGTCAGACTTTGCGCTGGGAAGGCCGCCGTTAAATAAGGAAAGGTGCTGGATACTAAAGTAGAATTTTTTAACATGTCTATTTATTGCACTCATCAGTTCTATCAATTTTCTTTGCAAATTTTGGGGTAGAGCAATGAGATTCGGTACAGGGGACCACAGGGGAATACAGTTGCGACTGAGATCTCGAATTGAATCAGTATTTGACTGGGAACATGCAGCGAGAGGAGCTAAGAGTGAAGGATCTGACCAATAAACATTGCTTTGTTATTTGTGCATCTTTTTTGCCAAACGTATTTAAGAAGTTTGTTATTTTGCTGAAAAGTGACTCTTATGTATGCTGAACTCACTCAAGAAAACCATTGATGATAAGAAGTTCCAACATTCGCAGACTTCGCAGAACGGCCGCTAAGCTTTCATGCTTCTCATCCGGGAGTAAGTCGACACGTTTACATGAGCTTAGTTGAACTACACGTTTGTTCCATCGGGAATGGATTCTGTCAGCTTCGCCAAAGACAACAGAAACGTACTTACTTGTTAGCAATTCTTACAAAATTCTCTATCTCCTTGTATCTTTCATGTTGTATCAGCCAATGTGGTGTTTCAGGAAGAAAACTGCATACGTTGCAGAAGCATGTCTCAGATTACCAGTCGCTAAGAAAAACTACTAACAAATAGTATGCGACTGTTGCGAGCCCCGGAGCTGCGCAAGCAAAATACATCATCCTCCACTGCTTCACAACTAGTGACAGGATACCAACCCAAAACATTCCAAGAACCCATGCTAGAAATCTTTTTATCTGCAGTAACAATCCTCTTATCTCGTTGAGAAAAGATGAGAATGACCTATCGAATCCACAACAGTGATCCATGCTCTTCCTGACGTTGGAAGTATCTCGCAAGAGTGCACATAAGCTAAAGAATAGTAGGTCTGGAATGGAGATCATACTTCATTTATTTAGAAGCTTTGAATATTGAAAATGAAAAATAGCTCACGTCACTAGCTGCACCTATTAAGAATCTCAGAAATATAAATATATAGTAATTTGGAGCAATTGAAGCGAGCATATGACAAGTGATTCTAGAAAAAAGAACTTCAATTCGAAACAAATTTAAAAAAACGTTTTAGGGTGTGCAGAAATTTGTATGTATTGCTAGAGTCATGCTCCTAAAAGAGTTGGAAAGAGTTCTTAAATGCTTGAAAAGGCCCACAAACCTTTACTTAGCCAAAATACATTATTTACAGTGGCGTACCGAGGGGGGGGGGGGCGGGTCGTGAAATTTTTGAAAGTTACTTATATGGATTATAAAATTGTGCAAATGACTTGTCTACACTTGTAAATAATTAAAATAATTTTTTGATTTCAAAAAATCCTTTTAGCTTTATAAAAAATTTTTTTTCGGGAGCGTGGCTGACGCCACGCCCCTTTTTTCCAGATTTTAGGGGTTGGAGACCCGCAAAAATTTTGAGAAGCACCCCAAAAATTTTTTCGGAGTGCGTGGCTAACGCCACGCACCTTCATTAGAAAATTTTTTTTTGTCGCCCCCCCCCCCGAGCCGAAATCCTGGGTACGCCACTGGCATTTTAGCGCTACAAGTCTACCTTTCTAAATAACATCAATAGCTAGACCTGGTTCAAAAAAGCCGAAACAGCAGAACACGATATATTGTCTAAGAAAATGTAAGAGCCTCAAATTACACATGACACGACCGTGATATGGTGTTGTTTGTAAATGCCAACACGACCGCCAAGATTTGTATGCGAAGGAAGCAAATGCTGAAGATTTACCACCTTATGCCATACGCTTGCTTCTGAGCACTTTGTGGAGCTTTTCGGCAAAGTGTGACAGTGTTTTGAGCAAATGCGTAATGCACCTAGTACCACTTTGATTAAGAGAGAGGCGAGCTCATGTTCAAAAGCTCACGGTATTATGTTTTTTCTTTCAGAATAAGAGATAACCTACAGCGGTACGCGATTATGTGTTCGCAACCAAGCAAATAGCATCAATGTGAGTCGTAAAAAATGAAGGACGCTGGCTTCAATAAAGAAATGCCAAATTAATAAAGCCGTATTTTCTTTCAGACTGGGTGAACTGGATAAGTATGGCATATGCTTCTGAAGGAGTGGGAGGGAAACATAAAATAGCTTCAAAAAATCGTTAGTATTCCAATCACAACTTTGAGCTTCACGGATTGAAGGAAAGATAACAAGGTTTAACGACGCGTTTAGAGGCTTTACTAATTCTCACACTGTGAGCCTCTTGACCGCGAAGGATGAAGCTTTTGCAGCCTAGACGCTTTATCGCCAATTGCCATCTCTTAAGCACAAAGAGTCAGTTTTCAATTTGGGACGAGCGGCCATGAAAGTTCATTTATCCCTCCCCTTTTCAATGGTTTTCTTTTTTCATATTTAATCAAGCTGTCTATGGTTAGCAGAAGAACGACGTAGTCAAGAGCGCCGCTAAGACCATGTCGGATCAGAATTCGATTCTGCCTTTGGCCCCTACCCTCCGGGGGTGGTAAATTACCAGGCCACCGAAGTAATCGGAAGGATAAAAGCACTAATTTGGTGCTGAGTCATTGTAAAAGGCCTGCAATGCAAGGCGCTTAGCAGCCTCTTTGACTATGATCGAATGCGCACGAAGTTCGAAGCATGCACGCAGTAGGCAATGAAGACTCCGAACCCTTTATCTTTTGTGATTCTACGGTGAGAGTGCTTATAGATAGTTGTTGCAGAAGCCTCTTATCCGTCTGAGGGAAAGAACGAAACGGATATTTCCTGTTTTTTCTTGTTGTTTTCACTAATTTAAATTTATAACAATTTTATAATCCTTACCTTGTTTTTTGTTTCTATTTTTATGTGAAATGTCTTATTCATAAAAGACTTTGCTCCCAAAAGGCAGACAACTAAAAATTTGCATGGTCAGCAAAGTTCTAATGGTGATATCAGCAGTATAGGAAAATTTATATGCAACTGACGCGCAAAAAAATCATTAACGGTTATTGGTCACTGCATCAGTGACAGTTATTACTTTAGACAGTCATGTTGGATGGCGCGGATCACCGACCTACCGATCTCCAGTGGCGGGAAGAAAAGCCCGCGCTGACCCCTTTAGCAGGCTATAAATACCGGTGGATAGGGGGGAGCAGGCAGAGCGTGAAGAGAGCGCTCCAGGGAGTTTAAACGAGCCATCGAAGAGAGGTGGACCCCCCCCCCCCCCCCTTAGATAGCTAGAAGCTAGAGAACCCTGCTGAGAGGGCCAAGTCGGGTCAGAAGGACCCATATTCGTTGATGAGTGTTCAAGTTTTTCAAGTTGTTCGAGTTATTCTTGTTCGTTGTTGCCGTAAAGATAAATATCTTCATTCTAACCTTGTCTTTATTGATCGATCCGGTTCAAACTGTCAATACCCCTAGACAACCCCCGTTACAGTCATAAAATATCATACTATCATCATTGTGGTATGGTGTTGTGCGAGAACAGCTGCTATATTTTTACGAAAGTTAGGTGCAAAAATAAAAGAGGAAATTGGGAAGGGAGGTTGGAAAACAAAAAATAGAAAGATTTTGTTTGAAATAGTCTCAAATTAGATTATGTTGTTATTTAGATGCCTCATTGAACAACAGCGGAAGTTCTCTTTCTCTTTTTTTCTTTCTCTCTCTCTTTCTTTTACAGGGAAAAGTCAGGTCTGAAAGGTTAACGTACGAAATTATGCGAGAGAATCAATTATCTTTGAAAACAGAAATATAGCGAGGGATACAAAAGTTGACCTTTGCTTGATATCACGTTGCGACCATGACAAAATAATTTACAAAGTATTGGCGAAGTTTTGATGACAAATAAGTCACAAATAAAAAACAATAACCATAAATAAGAAATACTTATCTCAACCTCTTGAAAATATCCTGCATTGTAAACAATATCAAAAAGTCATGCAAATATTAGAGCGATGTCAATCTGACTTTTGTCAGGTTGCACACGGTTTTGCAAAGCATCATGCACAAAAAAGCAAACAGTTGAAATCTTATAAAGAAACGTAAGCGCAATTCAAAAATCTGCAAATAGCGGGAAACCGCGTGGCGGTTTCGCAGCGAACGCTCTTGAGATAGGCACCTCTAGATTACTGGTTCACTAGTCACACAAAGAAAAAGGATAACCACACGGAAAGCCCCCCCCCCCGTGTGGTAGATATCAGAAATAAAGAATTACATATATACATAAATATGCAGAAAAGATGACCTGTTTGCGCTCCAGGTGCAAAGGCCGGCAAGTGAGCAAAAGCCGCTACTGACTGCAAAAGCTTCATTCGGTATGGTATGGAGGCTCATTAAAGACCGCTCCGTTATCGAATCCATCTGTAGGCAGAGAAACTAACGATATGGTCAAAGCTAGCAAGATCAGTGGTCTCCTTCCATGTGAATCAGCCATTGAAGTCAATACCGGCATCATTGTCACAGCACCTAAAATGCTAATTGTGACTATCCTCGCCAAGCAATGATCAAAGTGGCAGTAAATTGTTGCGATGTTGATCAGTAGGGGAGCATGCAGAACCGAATACCTTTCAGCACGTTCAAGACGCCCCCTTCCTACAGCTGAGGAGGGGGGGGGGGGTGGGACAATACCACTACTTGCGTCTGAATTGTAATCTCAGATTTGATTTTTTGGCAGAGCTGTCATTGGGCTGTGTGCTGCCTTCCATTGCCATTCTTAGAAACAGAAAATTGCATATCAAGAACGACATTTTCAAAGTCAATTCTCAAAAATTTTCTGAAAATGCTATGATAGGCTGCTTGTTGGAGAAAGACTTGAAGACCGCATGGCAAAATATTCTATAACTTTGGAGCAATTTCGTCGCTTTTTAAAGGTGGATGAAACAGCCTTTTGCAGCTCTATCTGGGTCATTAAGATTTGTCATGAGTAACATCTTCTCGTTAGCACTATTTGCTTTCGCATCATTGCAAACGATTTTTTTCTTCTGCACATTTCATTAGTCCCCATACTTCACTGATGCTTGTTTAGTCGCGAAAAGCGATTATGGTTCAACGAGGGCATACCTACAGTGAATGCTGTCAGTCCAGCCTCCTTCCATACAAATGAGCTGCAGCTTAGACCAAATTCTTTGATTAAAGTAGTAGAATAAGAAGGCTCTTTGATTCTAAAATTTTCAAATCGTTTTGGATCTTGGGGAGTTTGATGGAGAAGACCAAACTGCGCAGTTGCTTCCGATACACCTACATCAAAGAAGTGTTCTCAACGACTCCGCACTTTCCATGCAAAAGGTCTCCTTTTGATGAAATCAAGCAGCTTGTATCAACAGGAAGACTTTGGTTCTATAATAATGTGCTTGACTTGATAATCTCGTATGAACTTACGACTTACCAAACTGAATAGAACCTCATTTTCGATGTAGCTAATATTATAAATAATGAGGAAATTTATTTTCATACTTAAAGGCAACGGCCAGTCAAAACCGAAATTGGTGAGTTTTAATGCAGTATAGTAGTGAGGCCCTCAACTACGTATTTGCCCAAGTTTTCAAAGTCTTTTTCTAAGAGAGAAAATCGCTCTTGAATAAGGGTGCTGCTAGGTTGTCACGCCCATCGACGTGGGTAGTCTAAAGGTAAACATAACGAAACTAGACTTAACAGTACCTAGAATCGAGAATCGCTTTTATTAATGAAAACAGATCGTCTCTTCATACTTGGACATCCTCTTCGATAGCGATTCTCGTTTTTAAAATCTTTTAAACCACCCATAGTCAAGGGCTTGACAACTCTAACAGCTTTTTTCTTTCTGAAGAGTTTTTTCTTTTCGTCCTTTTGCAGGAGTATTTGAGCATTTGTTCAGTAAGATGCCGTACCGTATAAAAATTTTACCAACCTCAGATTTGGTAGACGGTGCCTTTGAAAGCTGAATATCGCAATCGGAAATGTGAAGACGTTAAATTTTTAACGCGTCTTCTAAGTTTATAGATGCTACTTCTCACCAAACTTATGGCGTGGAAGACGGTTTGTGAATCTCAATATTCTCATGATGGCAGCCAGGGTAGTGGCACACGTGCATGCTAGACATAGATTGTGTTAAGAAAGCAAATGACACAGGGATGTTGTTTCTGCGGTGTAGGCTGAAAGCCCATAAACTTGAGAATTTGTAGGTGAAGTTGTGCCGTTTCCCCACTTTTACTCCCGCTCCCCCCTCCTCGTCGAATTGGCTTCCTCAATCGCCACGTCACACAAGTCGTATAGGTTTCCTATGTACTACGTCGTTCCTAAAGTTCTTTCCGTTTCCCCTAACTGTCATAAATACACGTAGATGAAGATGAGAAAATATTTTGACGACAAAAATTCTCTTAGACCGTTTCCGCGATACACGTTCAACCAGCAAGCGTATTATGGAAGCGTTTAAGTTAGCGTTCTACACGAATGCTAATAATGAGTCTGCATCGCAAACTGTAAAGGAACTTCTTCTAGAAATTGAGGATTCTATCGATTTCTTTGATCTCTCGGTCATGACTTTTCTGCAAACATGTTTGAATGTAACATTTTCAAATGATCGGAAAGTTACTATGCGCAGGGGGGGGGGGTTAGGTTTTTTTCCGAGGTTTAGCTGCAGGACATGGGCCGGGGGTTAGCCACAATGCTGCGATAACGTCCATGGCTAAGAGCCAGGTTTAGAATGCCGCCCCTTACTATATTGTCGTATATTGATGACTGCTTCATAATCTACGCCACACAAGCAGAAATAGACAATTGTTACAAAATACTCGACGAACAGTCGCAGTATGTACGCCTCACGAGAGTGAAGCCAAAGAATGCAAGTCAACTTTTAGTATACAGATAACAAAATGGTACTGCAGGCCAATCAACAAAAAGATTTTTTCCATTGTGTTTCGGTTTATGCACGAAGGGCGAAGAGATCCATGGTAAGAAAAATGTTTCTTTGTGTTGTGTGTGTTTGTTTGTTGTGTTGTTGTGTGTGTTTGTGTGAAAAAATGTTTCATCTTAAGTCTGCAGTGGCCTCACAGAACAAATAGAATCACTAACGCTTGCTCGTACCATTAGGGGCTCCCAATGGATATGAACAGCACGATTCTCCAACGACAACATTACCTTTTGCATCCCTCCAAAGATGTGAGCGCGGCAAAACGACAAAGCCTAAAAAGACGAGGGTCGGAAAAGACAGTAACGATTGCAGAAATATCCCCCAGATAATTTGAAAACGATCTCTGCAATTGTATATATGACATTCGCAGAACTCCAGACTGCACTGTCTGTCCTGGAGACAGGAGTGATAACAGCCAGTGGGGTCATCTACTTAATTACATGCTCGATATGGGCGAAGAATATGCAGGCGAAACACTCCGTCCGCAATACATTCGTATGAAAAAACATCTTGACGGCAGCGACAGATCGCGCACATCTACAGTTCAGCACTCACCGCATAATAAGGCATGCTGGGAAAAATTTTGGAGTTTCCGCAAAAATTCTGACGCGTGAAACTAAAACATCGGCCCGCAAATGCTTAAGGACATTCTGAACAAGCTCTAAATCCTTGAACCGAAAAGGAATGCTTGCGAATCATGTGCGAACTTTCGCCACATTCACATTAGTTATTCTGAACTAAAGGTATATAAAAGCGGTCTGTTAACATGTTCAACCAGTCAAGTAAAGTCCTTCTCCGGTAGTCCATCAACGTACTCAAAAGAGTAAATAATAGGTGGGTCCGAAAGTTCTGTCGTTTCATTTAAAAATTTGTAACTTCGCGAAATTTCAACGGATTTGCTTGTTTGTAATTTTAGTAAAAGGAATAATCCTTTCTCTTTCAAACGCTTTTTTGTGAAGCCTCTGTTTCACACTAAGTGCGGAGATAAAAATGGAAAAATAAGACCATATAAACTTTCACCATTTTGAGTTAGGTCACCAAAAATCTGGAATGCTGCAGAAAAATCTGAAATCTTCAGTACGTTTGTTTTTTGACCTTTTCTTTGCAGCTGTGAAGAGTTTGTGCTGTTTGGAGACGTCTCTGTGAGAAGTTATGCATATCGAGTTTACTTTAGAAAACGCCAAACTTATTTAATTTGTCAATTTTCGCGAAAATCATAGCTTTTCACAGAGACGTCCAAATAGCACAAACTTTTCACAGCTACAAAGAGAAGGCGAAAAAACATATGTACTGACGATTTCAGATTTTTCTGCAGCATCCCAGATTTCTGGTGACCTAACTTAAAATGGTCAAAGTTTACATGGTCTTAATTTTCCATTTTTATTTCTGCACTCAGTGTGAAACAGAAGCTCTACGAAAAAGCATTTGAAAGCGGAAGACCTAATCTTTCTAATGAAATTACATGCAAGCAAATCCGTTGAAATTTCGCGAAGTTACAAATTTCTCAAAATGAAACGACAGAACTTTCGGAATAAAGTGCGGTTCATAATTATACGAACACCCAAAATTTTGTAAATTTTCGGACTTTTTGGGAGAAACTCAAAAAGCCGTTGGTACCACGCGATAGAGCACAGCCGAAAACGGTATATGATTCATAAGAATGGAAATCGATGTCAATTGTAGGAGTGTTTTTGCGCATAATTCGAATTTTTAGCGGTTCATAATTATACGAACACCTCAAACAAAGGTCCATTTTTCATTCAAGATTGGTATCGTTTGAGTCCAAATTTTTTGAAAAGTTGCAGTAACAAAGTCTGACACATCTGCTACACACTGAACCCAGTGCAGTTCAAAAGGAGGACCGTTACTTTTTTTAGGAGGCTCTAAATGCTTTTGGAGTGATTGGGCTCCAAAAACATCCGTTCTTCTGTGATTTACGCGCTCTAATTAGTTTCTACCAAAGCTATGAGATGAAATAAGCTCTTGCGATAGGTATTTCGTTTGACGCTTGGAAAATCTTTGCGTTTTCGTGCCGTTTTTCAACTAAGTTCCAACCTTACCACAGAGTTAGCACGATTTCGAGCCTCAAAACTCAGCTTCTTTCATGCGCAAACATTTGATATGACGTAGCTGCATTGCCTGCATAATAATGTTTCTGTGCCAAAGTTTTTGGGTTTTTTCTAGAACTGATCTTGCGGCTGTGGAGCTACAAACCAAGTAAAGGTGTGATTGCAATAGTAAAAACAGTATTTCTGGTGAAATAACGTCTGCGTGACCAAAAGAAACGCTCAACGCTGCTGATTTTTTCCTAGCCAAATACAAAGTCTTGTGAACTTTTACATACTATATGCTTACTTCACTGTACGGCTTCAAAAGCTGAGTCTTGAGGCTCGAAATCGTGCTAACTCTGTATTAAGGTTGAAACGGGTTGAAAAACGGCACGAAAACGCAAAGATTTTCCAAGCGTCAAACGAAATACTTATCGCAAGAGCTTATTTCATCTCATAGCTTTGGTAGAAACTAATTAGAGCGCGTAAACCACAAAAGAACGGATGTTTTTGGAGCGCAATCACTCCAAAAGCATTTAGAGCTTTTGAAAAAAGTAACGTTCCTCTTTTTAAAGTGCACTGGGTTTAGTGTATAGCAGATATGTCAGACTTTGTTACTGTAACTCTACAAAAAATTTGGACTCAAATGATTGCAATCTTGAATGAAAAATGGACCTTTGTTTGAGTTCGTATAATTATGAACCGCTAAAAATTCGAATTAGGCGCAAAAACGCTCCTAAGATTGACATCCATTTCCATTCTTATGGATCATATACCGTTTTCGGCTGTGTTCTATCGCATGGTACCGATGGCTTTTTAAGTTTCTCCCAAAAAGTCCAAAAACTTACAAAATTTTGGGTGTTCGTATAATTATGAACCGCACTTTATTAGGTTGTTACATAAGTCTTTTACAATTCAATTTCTTATGTCCATAAGTCGTGAACTTCATAATTCTAATAGGGCTTCAGGGTATCTTTCGATAGAGCAAAGCAAGTTCTAAGATGATGTGCAAAAGTTTGCATCAGCTCCGACCCACCGTAAGTTTGCATCCGGAATATGAGTCGCACTGAAGGCCAAAAAATCGCGAAAAATTCATACCTTTGTTTAAACAAGTCCGCATCTCCAACTCGTTTGCGCAGATTGCCCACTATATCAGACACTCATATGCCGTTCCTGGATTTTTTCCTCATCTAGAAATCGAGAAAAGGAAAATTTTTTAGTTTTTGCAAAAACGAAGCTATGTTTTTCTATCCATGTAGCTGTATACTACAAGGTCTTAGAAGTATAACCGTAAATTTTCAACTTTCCAGAAGCCTTAGTTTTCGGAAAAAATACCAGATTTAGCTTCTCTCGCTCGGGTGCTCAATGCTAAATTAGGTAATTTTCGAAAACTAGCGCTTCTGGAGAGCTGAAAATTCAAGGTTATACTTCTAAGGGCTTGTAGTATACAGCAGTGTCCGATATAGTGGGCAATTCTTATGAGCAAGTTGGAAATTCGTAGGATTTTTTTGAACAAAGATATGAATTTTTCGCAATTTTTGAGCCTTCACTATGACTCAGATTTTGGATGCAAATTTACAGTGGGCCAAAGTTGGTGCAAACTTTTGCACACTATCTTGTAGAGCTTGCTTTGCTCTACCGAATGGTATTCGGAGCCCTGTAAAGAACATGAGGTGCATAGCTTATTGTCGTTAGAACTTAGAGTGCAACAAGACTTGTGTAACAGCCTAATATCTGGCCATGCGGCTGAGACGGTGAATGAATGTGAGGCTTAGAATTTTGTCTGCACGGCTGTAGAGGTGTGCGAGCGAATGAGTTACAAGCAGATTGCTCTTAGAAACTCTGACGAAGACGATTGCCGAAACGTTAATCGTGATTATAAAGGGTATAACGATCGTGTATGGCCCCGGGCATACCAATCTGGCAATTTGCCAGATGTCTTCAAATTCAATACTAAATACGCATAAAGGATTTGGCGTCTTTATTACCCTCTGCGGGCATGCGCCGAATGCACTCTTCATACTCGAAGAGGCTACTGAATGCGTGCGGGCCTTTTATACTTCAACAAATTGATACTGGCGGACCCCAAATGCACAGCATGTATAGCAAATTCGTAGGTTGATAAGATGCCCTGTCTCCCGTACACAAAAACCCCTACGATACGTTACGAACAATTGGAGGTTGTCAAATCGCGTGTGTTATGCCGGAGGGGGGAGGTATGGCTCAGCAAGAAATACGAAGACGTTGGATTCATGCTGAGGTTTATCGAGAGTAGCACAGTGAATTTTGAAAACTGTTCGACGCGACCTTTTCTCCTCTTTTTAACAGTCATGCCTACAAAATGATATGCTTTTCATTGTATTTTCGAACCCATGGTTTGCTACATCAACTTTGGCACTTTTTCAAAACTTTCGATTTCAACTTCTGAAAGAGCTTTCATAACAGTGAATAGCGCAAAGGCAATAAACAGGCTTTTCTGTTCATTTCCAACCAGCTTTCCAACATTTTCAGATGATTTTTTTCTGAAAGTCTTCGTTTCTTGAGCTGTGTGATACACAAACGCATCTGAAACGAAAAAAAAACCTCAGAATGCAAGAGTTCCACACAGTCATCATTCAACACTATTTTTACAATGCAAATAAGCTTTCTTCGCTACAGGATTTGATTTCTGAAATTTTGGGTACAGCCATAGAGAAATCCAACAATTCAGATTTGTATGATTTCCTCTTCGGAAATTCCATAGATTTCAAAGGAAAATACGCATATCAAAAAAGGAGAAAAACCGCATGGTACAATGGCCGGGTTGTTTGTCGGTCGATGTTCTGTGAGGTTTGGCTGAACCAAACATAGAATTTTTGACACCAGAACAATAATTTGGTCATCTTGAAGAACCAACTGAGATGCCAAAAATTTCACAGTGTCGCACTTTGTTTGCTCTATCCAGCGGCCAAGTAGGCTCTTACAGAAGTTTAAATTAAAAAGTGAAAAATGCCAAACTTGTGCATAATAAAAACCAGAACTTCTGCAATTATCTTAATACCACAAAAGTGAAGGGCCCAATAAGTAAGTGTTGGGTGGAGGAAGAAAAACGTGTCGAACGGTTTTCAGGAAAGTTTCCCAAGTCAGCTCGGCCAATGAGACAATGAATGAGACAATGATGCGACAATATATCATGAAGAGATGAGACATATATCATCGTGAAGCGCTTGGAACGCTGGTTCTAAATCTGTCGTTTCCAGCTGCGGAACGCTTTTGTAGAAGAAGTCATGGAGGTGCTTCCTTCCGAGATTGAGGCGCCCTTCAACATGTCCGCCTTTGTTTACGTGCGATGTAGAAGAGTATGCAATCTTATATATAAAGCTGAATGTCTGTCTGTATGTATGTATGTATGTCTGTCTGTACGTATGTGCGGAATAGAAATTTTTATTTCTGAACCGATCGGGACCAAACTTGGCACACATATACTTCGGGGCAGGCGTGGTCATAGGCTACTTTTCGTTATCGATCGAAACGAAAAGTGGACTATGACACGCTCCCTGCCCCGAAGTGTATGTGTGCAAAGTTTGGCCCCGGGCGGAGCCGGGTTTGCCATCTAGTGTACCTCATAATTTGTGAGCCTCATTCAGAGACTACGAAGTTGTTCAGTTTGTCCTGCCTGAAGAAAAATGCTCAAAGATTATGAATTTTCCGCTGGTTACTTCTTTTCGTCTTTTAAAAGCATGTATAAGAAATTTTTTCCTGCTTCTATACATGATCTAGATTTTTCTGTTCACTATATGTAGAGGTTCAGATACTTACAAATTTTGAGAAACATGGGTGCAAAACTTTGAATACATGAACGAAAGTATTTTTCAGTATCTTTATGATGAGCAGAAAAAAATCTATATTTCGTATAGACAAGGGATAAAATCCCTCAAACGTGTCAAAACAATAAGAAGTAAACAACGGAATATTCATAATCTTCGAGCGTTTTCCTTCAAAACAGACTGAATGGCTTCGTGTTCTCTGAATGAGGTCCACAGATCATGAGGTCTATTGCATACTCTTCTACAACGCACGTAGACAAAGGCGGACATGTTGAAGGGCGCTCAATCTCAGTGAGAAGCAAGCCTATAACTCCTTCTACATTGCCGTTCAGCACTAGATGGCAGAATTAGAAACAGCGTTTCAAGCGCTTCACGACGGTATATGCCTCATCCGAATTGGCCGAGCTGGCTGGGGAGCATTTCCCTGTCAGTATGTTTGCTCATCTTTATTCCAAGTGTTGATAAATTAAAAACGGAAACTTTTGGAACGACTCGATAGAAACAGGATCCCAAAAATTGTGCCTATAGTATGATAGGCATTACCTCTCTTGTGGTAAAGTGGAAAAGCTCTAGGTACCATTTTGTATATCTGGCTCCAACTCAAATTTACTATATGGATAGGTAGTACCATTTTGTATATCTGGCTCCAACTCAAATTTACTTTAGGGAGCAAATCACCCATCTCTTCGTTACTGTAGAATTATGACGAGAAAAAGGGGTTTAGCCGTGGAGGGTTATAAGGGAAAGAAAAGAAAAAAATTCGAAAACCCTCACACTAAATTGAATAGAAGAGTTTTGTTAAATAGCGTCATCTCATTATAATGCTTTTACAGAGATGGATCCTTGATCGAAGTGGCCAATCACTATAAACTGCATGCAGCTAGTAAGTGCTCGGGACGCTGATTCCAATCTGCTTCCCATATCTGCGGAGTTCCTTTAAGATGTTATGAGCATTTTCTGAGGCGAAAAAATGCTATAAAACGCGGGGTAAAAACATCGTTTAGACATCAAATGGAAGGTAAGAAGTACTGAAACACTAGAACATATTTATTATAAAGTCATTCCGGCATTTGCTACTGCTTCATTTGAGGTTTAGAGGGGCTGTAGCGATTGATTTTACTCCTTGGTTCGATTTCGAACTAAAAAATGTGCATAATTTTTTTTTCAGAGGCGCTCTGCAAATACGGAGAACAGACATGAAATTAGCTCTCTAAACTCTCACTGATGGTTTGCATTTCATGATGACCAGCCACTACGACTTCGTGACCCTGCCTTGTATATGCCACGCAACCACAGCCGCAAAGCAGCTGTTCAATGCTGCTAAAAAATTGATTACAACGTTTAGAAAGCTTCACAATCTTGTACAAAGTTGAGTATCGAACTCAGCGTTTTGAAAAACTTGCCAAACAAGTTTTCAGATTTTTCTTAAGATTATTCGAAATGGCAGTTTTTTCACAGTGATGCTGTAATGTTTCTACGAATCCTACAGCGACAAACAGTGGTCAGTGATTCTTTCCAAACTCTAAGTTTAGTCCTAGAGAGCTCTACAAATTTGTACTCAAAACTTTTCATGAGACTTCAAGACAAGAAAGTCCTTAAAAATCAAAAAATAGGCACACTTTTGGGATACCCTGTATATTCTAGAAAAGCGCACGAATTTGAAACAATCTTTAGAGATAATAACGATTTGTTTGCAACGAACAGACAATTCGCGAATTTTTTTACCTGTTCTCATTCACGCGCTATTTTCTATCATTTCTAGTCAATGCGTCCCGAATAAACAATAAAGTTTCTTGATAGGTTATGTTAGGGACTTCCTTTATGCATAATGCTGTAAAGGTGGGCTGCATTTCTACAAGTACACCTTCAACTTCTTCACATTCCGATCTTTTTTGTAAACGTCTATACGCACATTTTTACTCGTTCTCTTTCAACTTCTGTCGAATATGTAACTCGCCTGATAGACACATTCAAGGGTAGGACTCGCTCCCACATATGGCATGACGTACAAGGCCGAAGAGTAGAAAAAGCTTACACCGTTGCCCAGAAAGTGACACAACATTTGATACCTAGAAACTTTTATGACCGACTGCCTGATGCAAAGATCCATGCAGCTTTAGATGTTGAGAGCTTTAGATGTTTTTCTCTCTGCTAAAGCTTGAAAAATCTTCATCAATGAAAAATTAGTGTGCAGAGTAATCTTCTTCATAAATGCAGCTGGCAGCAGAGCAAAAGATTGCAAAAGCTCGCAGCGTAAAGCAAGCTACTTGAAGGCAGAGGGTTTTGCTCATTGCGCGTTGGAAATAGTCATTCATCTTGTGCAAATTTTCGTGGAAGGATATAGCCAGTTGTTTGTTAACTCAAACTCCATGACACTTTGTTTTCAATGAATGTGCGTATAGATTATGTGAAAGACTGCACAAAAAGAGAGAATATGGTTTTTACTTTCCCTAGTTTTTGTTGAAAGCATGGTTTAAATACAAAAACGAAAGTTTCTGCTTTCCATGAATGAGCGGGTTTGTTGACCATCTAACAATAAGTTTCCAAATCACATAGGCGCGCCAGACTTCATCTGAATTCTGCTGAAATGTCATGTGCGTCGCAACATTGAATTTCTATGAACATTGAATTTTTATGAAAAAAAGAGTTGAAAACCCCAGTATATATCTACAATAACAGTTTGTTTTCTGATGGAACCAAATTGTATGAATTTCTGTGAAAAAAAATGAGTTGACTAGCGTTGTAAAACTTTTGTCGGCGTCAGGAACTGCCCGCCACCATTATCTTATATATAAAGCTGAATGTCTGTTTGTCTGCCTGTATGTCTGTCTGTCTGTCTGTCTGCATGTCTGTCTGTCTGTCTGTACGTATGTTCCGAATAGAAAATTCCATTCCAGTCCCATAGCTCAAATTTTGCAAAAAATCAATAAAATCGATGAAAGTAATGCACGGTTTCGAAAACCAAAATTGTATTCGTAATCAGCATGCTCGATTACCCCCCTGCTCAGGCAATCGCCGGGGGCAGGCGGGCACCGGAAAAATAGATTGCTGATCTCTCGCACCCCGCTCGCGGATTTTTTGGAAAGCAATCAGGACTTTTCGGAAGACCGCTTGCTGAGTTCTCGATTCCTCAGAGATTCAGCAATATATCTGCAGAAGATAAGAGCGAAAAAAATTCAACAGGCGGTCTCTCAAAAATCCGCTGATTCAGCAAGCGGTCTTCCGAAAAGTCCTGATTGCTCTGCAAAAAATCCGCGAACGGGGTGCGAGAAATCAGCAATCTATTTTTCCGGTGCCCGCCTGCCCCCAGCGATTGTCTGAGTGTGCCAAATCCCAGCCCCCTAGCTCAAATTTTGCAAAAATCGATAAAGTCGACATCGATCGATAACGAAAAGTGGACTGTGACACCTACCGGGGCCCGAAGTGTAAGTGTGCCAAGTTTGGTCCGGATCGGTTAAGAAATGGAATTTTTTATTCGGAGCATACGGCGGAGCCGGGTAAGCCAGCTAGTCGTATATAATCTGATTATTGACGAAGGCGGTCACTCAAACAAGCTGAGTGCACGCTTGACTGCCGCGCGCGGGTAATTCTATGGAGCGATCTATAGAGCGCAGACATGCACAGAAAATGCGAAGTGTCGCGTGAAAATCACCTTGGGAATGAAACATGCAAAGAAAGAAAGAAGAAATAGAAGGAAAGACACGAAGGTGTGATGAAGCGCACTAATACAAGCGCATTCACACAGTGGTGAACCGCAAATACAGCTACGCGTACAAAAATCATAACAGGACTGTATAATGGAGTTCGTGAATGACAGCTTACCACCAGCATAAGAGTAGAGAAAAAATCTGAATGTAGCAGAGTACAATCCAGAAAACAAGAATGTAGTGCTAATAGAGCTCAAGGCCATCGGCTAATTATGCGTCACGCGCTCCATGCACGCTTCGCCCGCGCCGCTTACAAGCTAGTCTCGCATGCGCACAGCTTATGTGGGTGACCGCCTTCGTCATAAATCAGATATTGAAACTATCTGCAAAAGATGGCAGCGAGTGGAACTGTGCTGGAGCTTGCACGGAGCTGAAGGCAGGTCATCTGACAAAAGCCATTTTGCAAGTGTCTTGCCTTAGCTAGTGACTAAAGTCTTACAATCCAAATCCATAAGCATCCACCAATTTGTTCGGATCGAGATTCGCGTAAGGGCTTGTTTGATCAGCTAAATTGTTGCATGAGCCGTTCCGTGTCACCTGAAAAACAGAAACAGTAGGAAACAGTAGCTGTTAGTAACCGGTTTGCGGTGATTTTTTACTCGGCATTTGGATTAAGCTGCTAATGCTTTTCAAGATCCGCATATTCCTTGATTACTGTGTCCTTAAGCGACATTTTTGACCAGAATAATTGAAATTGAATATAAGCCTTATGACAGCAGCATACATATGTCCCTTTCTAAACTTGTCCTGACACCTTATCCACAACCAGCACAGGAAAATACGGCTTGGATTTGATTCCGAATACGCAAGATGCTCTGTTTTGCGAAAGGTGGCTATGGAGAAAACAACGATCCGAATGTGAGCTGCAAGGCCTTCCTCCCTTGTAATTTTGAAAAGGCTGTTTTTCCGCGCGCGCGTCGTGGCCCGAAATTCTTTATGGAGTATAAATAGCGGCATTCATCAATTATCGAACTAGTGTTGGGACATTTTCGAGCAGAGCAATATTTGTAGTTCACAGCGGTACGCCACAGTTCTTGCTCTTCAAATCAAAAACAAGTGTTGCGGCTCGGTGGGCCCAGCACCCCTAGCCGTGTGCTCGACTGCCCTACACTACAGTCCTACGCCCTAGGACGTTACGCGTCCGACACCGACGTTACCTTCCGGCGCGTCCACTCGACGCGGTCACCCAATTCTCCTACCCGCGACATAACGCGCGTCTGGATTGATTAAGTTTATAAATAAATAACAAAATACAAATATACGACATAATACAAATATACGACATAATACAAATATATACAACAAACACTAAACTAAACTACTACTAAGCTACTAAGTTTCTAGACTATTAAGGAAAAGAAGAAAGCAACGGATAACACGGGGCGAGCCGCGAGCCCCCGTGCTGCCGATGCATGAAAGAATTCACTCCAACTGTGAAGTTCTGGGTTCCTCCTCAGAGCCGACCGCAAGGGGGCTCAGTCCAGTGGAACGGCGCACTCACCAGCTCCACTCCCGCATGATGTTCATCTGCAACTTTCGAACTTCCTTGCGCCTACGCGCGTCTGACACACAACATCAGAAAGAAGGCTCAACCGCTCAACCAAAAGTCCTCGAATGCGGGAGCTGCTTGAAATGTAGCCGAGTATGATAAGATAACCGATAATCACACGAAAGTCGAAGAGGAAGAGGCGGCGGCTGCTCTCTCGGCAGCCTTATATACCCCGCCGCTTGGCTACCTTCCAAGCCGGAGGTGGTCCTGCAGCAGCCTACAAAAGGCGCGGCAGGCAAATGCGGCAAACAGCGCCCCCGGCCTCCTGTTCCGAGGAGCGCTCTGCATCGCGGAGCCGCGACACTCCCCCCCCCCCCCGAAACAGTGGCTTGAGCGTCCGACAAGGGGTTACGTGATGACGCTGGCGACAACTGAGGGTACTACCATATGAGTTTTGGAAGTAAACGGTAAAAGAACATATCCATCGGCAGCACCGGAAACGCGCGTAAAAGAAAACTAGTAACGAAACCCGTCCCGCGACGCGCTCAAACCAAAACCACAAAGGGCTAACTGCACTAACGCACAAAATAACTACACCCCTAAAGCGCTATCGGCTAAATAAATAAGTTATAGGGATAAAATCAAAGCCAAAATCAAACTCGTCACAAGCGCCTCGCTCAAGCTCAGATAGGTAGCTCAAGATTAAAAGGACAAACAAAAAGGTAATAAATTATAACTCTATACAACGTAGGCTGCGAGCTGGTGCGACCGGACCCGTCAAACCATTACAGCATACTCAACGACGCGACCATTACAACCAGTGTATTTGAGGAAAATTCACCTTCGAGAGATTTCTCAGTAGATGAACATTCTGGTCAAAATACCCTTAGTACTGTCTATTTTCATCCTTCCGATATTCATCGGATCATTTTGTCTTTGAAGCCTTCTTGCATGGAACCAATTGATGGCATTCCTCAGATTTTATATAAGAAATGCGCAGATAATCTTTCTAGACCTCTTGCTGATTTATTCAATATTTCTATGTATTATTCTGAGATTCCCGCATTGTGGAAAGAGGCTATAGTCACTGCCATTCCAAAAACTTCAAAACCCGAATATACCTCTGATTTTCGACCGATTAGTCATAATTGTATAGCAATCAAGATCATGGAAAAGATAATAAGGAATAAATTATTATCTTGGCTGGAGAAATTCCACCTTATATCACCTGAGCACCATGGATTCATACCAGGCAGATCTACTGCAACTAATCTTATCGAAACTATTTTTGAATGGAGGCTAGCACTGAATTCAGGGAAATCTGTTGATATTATATATTTCGACCTTTCGAAAGCTTTTGACAAAATTCCGCACAATATCCTTCTTTTCAAGCTAAAAAATATCGGGATATCAGGAAATCTTTTGAGTTGGTTTGGATCTTACCTAAATGGTAGAAATATGACTGTAAAAGTTGGACAAGCTTTTTCTAATAGATTCTCTTGCCCTGGTGGAGTTCCCCAAGGGGCTGTTTTATCTCCTCTACTATTTTTGATTTTCACTTTAGAATTGCCTAGTCTATTGAAATCAGATAACATAAGTCTCCAAATCTACGCCGATGATATAAAAATCTATGCAGCGTATGATGAGCATAATTTCGGAAAAATTCATGACGAACTGCAATTGTCCATTGATAAAATGTGTACTTGGGCATCGCAAAATGGACTCTCTCTTAACCCGAAAAAATGCTCTTTTCTTCACCTTGGTAGAATTACTCCAGCTGTTTATCTAGTCAATGAGGTTGAATTAAACACTTGCCAAACAGTAAAAGACCTGGGAATTATTGTTGATTCTAAACTGAATTTTTCTGAACACATCGATTTTATTGTCAAGAAAGCGTATTCGACACTATTCATGATTTTCCGAAACATACATACCCCCAATAAGATAATTTTGACAAGACTCTATCAAGCATACGTTCTTCCACAATTAGAATACTGTTCTCAAGTTTGGAGTCCCTTCAAGAAAAAGAATATTTCGAAAATTGAAAAAGTTCAGCATACCTTCACTAGACTAATTTATTATCGAAATACAATGGAAAAAGTACAAAACGGAATTCCAAGCTATAGTGTTCGAAACAAGGCATTGTGTTTAACCGCTCTAATAACAAGACGCACTATAGCTGACCTAGTCTTTTGCTTTCGAATACTTCGTTTAGAAGTCAAACTAAGAGCAAGTAAATTCTGGATTTTCATGCCTACAGGCGATAGATTAGGGGGATTCAATCTTCACTACAAACCTATTAGAAATCATCGATCTGGTCTTTTCAATTACTTATTTTATCGATGTGCGAGATGGTTTCAACGATTGCCTGCTGAAATTATTTCCGCAGGCAATGGTGAAACCTTCAAGAAAAAATTGATGATGGCAGACTTACCTAAATTACTAAATTATGATCATATCTAATTCTTTTAAGATAGCCTCTCTATATTTGTTATATTCAGAGAAATGAAAATGGAGTAAAATGAGAAGAAATAGAAAGTGATTCTACTCTTGGAACAACCATCTATTCAGAACTGATAACTTTCCATAATTCACCATCTACTATCGTTCTAAAAGAATTCTTTTCAGATCCCCGTTGTCTTCATGATATCAGATATCCAACGTCATTATGTTCTATATATGGCTCTGATTACCATCCACTCAGCGAAACATCTAGCCTTCTTCTACATCCGAAAATTTACCTCTTATAAAAAAGTCCTCCAAATAGAGATGCAAGTTTTCAAGATAACAGGATCTCCTCCCTCCCATCAATAAGCCTATTTTGTAGGCTATTACCCACCTTATTACGTAACTGGTTTGGGTCTGGTTTTTTTTTCTCCAAACACATTTGCACAAGGTCAACTCAAAATGACTTGCCCGAAGTTTTTTTTCTTTCTTAGATTGTAACATTTTGTAGAGTTTGGCACTCTCCTCCAGCATGTCGGATGAGCGAGGCGGCCAGTATACTCGCTTTCCGAACTTCCGGCATACTCCTACTGAATTCCCAAGGTCGTTTTTGCTGGCAAGCGAGGAGGGCATGGGTACAAACTCCGTCGAATTATATTTCCTGGTAGTGTCTGCTTGGGCAAAACCTTAGTGCTTGTAATTTTTATTAACTTATAACTGGACCTGAATTGAATATGATTTTATTGTAAATATATGTATATACTTTGTGTTTCTTTAAAGAATATGTGTATCTCAACTGCTCCTTTAGTCTTACTTTGTAGCACGCCTTAGAGCGTAAGAATAAATAAATAAATAAATAAATATGAGTGTGACATCCATTGTCCAGGAATCATTTGAAAAATTGAGTTCAGTGCGCGTCTTCATGAACCGTGGACCATTCGAACCATCCAATCACATACATGTCTTCGCAAACTCTTGGACCACACTAAAAAACATACTTTACAAGCTCAACACTACAACTGGAAAAACACCAGCTGCGCGTCTCGCGCACAAGCTCGCTCTTACTAAATCGCGTGCGCTACGTGGAGGCTAAGATGTTCTAGCGCGCGCCTTACGAAAACTCCCAGGTGGAATTGGGGAATGGGTATTTTGATCCAACTACATGTACAAATCGTCCCCCCCATACGTCTAAGTTAAATATGATTACAGTAACGCGTTTGCAAGACGCACGGCAATAAATGATGTACTACCAATTCTTACACGCCTATCCTTCCTACACCGCCTGCAATGATCGCCAACGCACTGCGTAGAGCCCTTCAAATGCTGTTTCTCCCCAAAAACACAAGACGGTTGACTATTTTTCTATAGGACATGCTACGCGCGTCAACCTAAGCTCAATAAGTGGATACCAGTTCACCCTCCCGCACGACAAAGTAAAACTGGGGAGATAAGGGGGTTAAGAGGCGGGCTTGTGTTACTTTTCTCCGATAGTGATGTAGATTCGCGCGTCGGAGTCCTGAATCACCTATCGACGCGCCACAAGGGAAACTGGTAGAGGGATCCCGATCGTGCTGTTCATCGTAGACGTTGGGTGACTTCGTTG